GGTGGGGGGGGGTGTCTTAATTTCTGATAAAAATCGCAATTGTGATTTAAAACACAATTTTCAAAAATCCAGCTTCACAATTTGTAACGTTTTGTGATTATACATCAGTATGACTATAAAATAATATATAATATAAAATAATAATAATACATACATATATAATATTTTACATTTTATTATTATTTGATCATTTATTATTATTATCACAATTATTACTATTAATTACTACTACAACTACTAAATAAAAATATAACAATAACAAAAAATAAAATAAAAAAAGGAGTATTTAAGAAAAGTAATATTTTTAAAGTTACATTACTAATATTTTTTGGTGTCTTTATTTCATTTTCAAACGTTAAACCACAGGGAGCCCTTAATAAGCACAGAGCCACACTTCACTTTGAAAAACACAGCACATTTACTTCATTAAATTCCAATTTGATAATCGCACTGAGCCATATCGCAATTTTGGTTTTATTTCAATTAATCCCTATGTATCACCCTGACATTTTTGACGTTATGCCCCTGAAAACATCAAAATGAATATGAATTCAGACATTAAAACGTTCATCACAGAAGAGGTGTATTCAATGTATATTAATTGAATTTTTTATGCATTTTTTTAATAAATTAACTGATCTAGACTAAAAAACTGCATTATGTCATAGACCAGGGGTGTCAAACTCAGTTCCTGGAGAGTTTTGTTCCAACCCTGCTCCAACACACATACCATGTAGTTTTCAAAAAAGCCTGAAGGACTTGATAAGTTGAATCAGGTGTGTTTAATTAGGGTTGAATCTAAGGCCCCGTCCACACGGAGACGCGTTTAGCTGTGTACGCATAAATTTTGTATCGTATAGGCGTTTCGTCCACACGGATCCGGCGTTTTGGGAGAGTGAAACCGATATTTTTTTAAAGGGGTAACTGCGTTATGTCAGACCATCATAACATAATAAACTGTTATGCTGCTTTTATCAGCATCATATAAACTTCATATAATGCTGTCATAACAGTTTGTATTTGGGTCAATTATTTCAAGGACTGGACAGTGAGCAATAAAAACTGCCACAAAAGGGAGTATCTCTTCAGCCCAGAATGCTTTGGTTCCCAGTGTCCTCCACCCCAGTGAATTATCAACGTTCCAGTGGTGTGACTTTATTTTCTCCTGAGAGCAGAAAACATTCACTCACCATGACTTCTGTGTTCCTCAGAACGTTCTGGTAGCCAGCAGGATGCAGTACAATGCCGCTGGGGTTGGTGTAAACACCGTGAATATGAAGTACGCTCAGTCTTCTCTTCTCCTGAGCCCACTCCAGAACCTGCACACACAAGCACACAGCGGCATTTCATACTCCACTGCTCCCAATCCGGCTCCCACTAGGAGCGTCCAGCTGCTTTTAATGACTGCGGGTTCTAATCAAGAGGTGCATAAACACCCTGCCTAAAGGCCACGCTATGGAAAACCACACACGGCCTGCTGAATAAAGACACAGGGAACTGAACATGCAGTCACTTGTGTTTCCGAGAGCCCTTCAGGTGAGCTGCTGTAGAGTTTACATGCACTAATGCCCTACATGACGCTTGGCCTGAGACCATAAGGCTGATTTTATGGCTAATAGCTGAAGCCTTCACTGCTTTGTGCTGAAGGAAATTTATGGCCAAATGCAAACAGAGATGAACCCAATGCACTGAACATCTGAGGAAAAGCGTTTCACAGCTTTATTTCAAAGCACACATTGTTTTTAGTTTAAGCTTAAAGCAACTGATGATCTGACGATGGGTCCCCATGGTCTCTTCTTCAGATGTTTTTTTTATCTGTTATTTATCAGTGACTTTTATGAGACATAATGCAATTCAATCATAGACTAAATAATTGTGCTATATATATGACGTCACATTGCTGATGGACTTTCAGGTCCCAATGACCTGCCGACAAAAATGTTACAATTTTGAAGTGTTTTATATCGATATTGAATGATTTCTGAAGAAGACTGGAGCAATACTGCTAAAAATTCAGCATTGCATCATAGGAATAAATTACATTTTAAAATATATTCAAATAGAAAACTTATTTCAATGGATGGATGGATGGATGGATGGATGGAATCCAAAATGAAAAATTAGACATTCACTATTCAAATGGTTAGCGTCCAATAAGGCAGTCTGAACTGTAATGCTAATTCACCTCATTTATACAGAAAACATAGCTGGTACCTTCTTCTCATCTGTGAGATCCAGAGACTCCAGCTTGGTCCCTTGGTGGGCAGCGTAGATCTCTAGCAGATTGTCAAAGTTGGTGGTGAGGACCAGAGCGCCGCTCTCCATCAACTGCAGCACGGAGCGAAGGAGATGCTTCCCAGCGTTCTCCATCTTACACTCCAGGTCATCAAACACCTCATAGAGGCAGTCTTTAAAAAAGGTGGAGCGTACATTTCCCGTCCGCTACAAAGAAATTTGACAAAACAAATCAACTTAAGGAGTATTCAAATAACTCTTCTGGGAATGCAATGTTACAGGAGTGAACCAAAGCAGGCGTCTAGAAGGGGAAATAAGCACTATATATTTGAAGAATATCTTCTTCAAAGGCCTTGAAATGTTCTCCATGGAACACATCAAAGGAAATAAAGCACCCTAATTCATATATTTAGGCTTGTAGGCAATTAAATGATCTTGATTTTTACACATGGTGGTGTTCGCCAATGCAAACTTTAACCCTGATAATAGGAATCTCATAAGAAATGGAATACGTCAGTCAAATATTTAGGCTAATTGTAGGAAATTAGTAGTAGTATGGAGAGAGCGCCGAGAATAGAAGAGTTTTGACAGCAGTGCCCTTGTCCTGGTCAAACTCAATCTCATTACACTGAGCCGAATTCATTCTCTGAGCTTGGCAGAGGCACATGGAAAACCAGAGACCAGGCCATCCAAGATGTAGATAAGTATGTTTCTTCACAAGAGAAATTTAGCATTACATCGCTTGCTTACCAATGGATCCTCTGCAGTGAATGGGTGCCGTCAAAATGAAATAGCTAACCGTTTCTTACAAACATGCAGCTTTTCACTTCCCAAGACATTATTTGATGGACTGGAGTAATGACGATTACTTGTTGATTATTGTGATGTTTTTATCAGCTATTTGGACTCTCATTCTGATGGCACTCATTCACTGCAGACAAAAAAAAAAAAGTTGTGAAAATGACATATGATCTTATCCCTTACAGCCTTGTTTTCATCTGTGCCAAATTCAATATTGTGTCTACCCTCACTAAGGTCTATTAATTTTTTTTTTCTTTGTCTGGAGCCGTGATTTGGGTACTCATGAAAAATAACAGCATTGAGCAACAAGCATTCAGAAATTAGATGAACATGCAATCATTCTTGGAAAGTTGTGGACCTTTTTTGTGCTCATCACCATAGTAGCGCAATAACATTGATGCCTGAATCAAAAAAGCAGTCTGAATGTCTCAAGCATGACTTACATATTCATGCCCAAACATGTCAAAGTCCAAATGTATTTTGGCATCCACTGACTTGCTGCAAACATTACAAAGAATGCATAACTAAAGAAATACGTAATGCCGAAGCTGAATGGACTAGCGTCTAGTCGTGGCATGTTGTTCTGGAGGTGTGAATCCTTGACACGTTCAGATTAACCTAATTTTTTGTGCCACTGGGGTCTGCTCTGCTCATGTGAGACTCAAAACTCACACAAGTAGGTTAAATCACTGAAAGACCTCACACTAACAACAACAAATAAACCGAGCTTGGAAATTCACTGGGATAGAGACAGACAGCAGGCTGATGTTTTTCTAGGTGAGTTGTTTTGTTGATGTGTACTGTTCAGCTATGACCATTCCAGGCAATGAAACCCCAGCACTGGAGCTGAAATTCATTACCTAACTCCCTTTCACAGGCCTAATGCCATCTAAATCCTCTAGTGACACTGATGGGTTTGGATGCAAATGATACTGGGGCTTTGTCAATGAAAAACAGGGATAAATCACTGAGTGCTGTTTTGACGGAGCGACAAAAACAACACTGGTGGCACGTGGTTCTACGCCCCATTTTGTCTGGAAAGAAAAAAAGGGACTAATGATGGACAAACTCATCATTGTGCTCTGCGGTCCATGCATTGCCTAGCATTGTCCTAATGATCAACAATACAGATTTTTTTTTTCAAGATTTTTCCTTGCCCTGACAACTTTTCACTAATCACAGAAACTGAAACATTGGCATAGCCCATCAGCATCAGTCGAAGCAGCACATGAACCAACCATTTCTTCCTCTTTACTACTGGTTATTGCACAAAATAAACAAACCTGAGAAGGTATGTTAAAAGAAACAGTAAAACATACTGAAATGTTTCTTGTAATTGCTCAATCAGTGTTTCAAGATTAATTAATATTAATATTTCAATATTTCCAGTTGTTGTTTAATATTATTAAAGAACAATGAACTGGAGTAGAAACAATTATATCATTAAACATAAAAACTGCCTTATGTGCAATTACAATTTTTGTATACAAGTAGTAAGAAAATGAAAAAACATCTTACCGGTGAAAGTTTCTGGATAAGGTCATGAGCAACATGCACCAGGTTTTTGTCCTCTTGCAGACTTTTCTGGAAGCGGCGGCTCTCTTCCTCCTCAAGCAAATCAAAGTCATTGGCAGCATCTAGCAGCGCCTGGATCAGACCTTTCCAGGAGCGCAATGCGGGCACTTGAGGAGCTACGGCTGAACTCACCCCCGTGCCGATCACCAGCACAAGCTCAGGGGCGCGCTTGGTCTTCAGGCTGGGCAACAACTTCCTACTCAGCCGAGGAGGAGGAAATGTAAACAGGTCAGAGGAAACATGCATACGGATGGAACTACGCTACAGAGTTGCATGCAAAGCATGAGATGTTTTCTATTTATTCGTTATAAGGTTGGTGATTTTTGCAAACTGTTAACTAAACTGTTGGACATGTCTAAATGCAATTAAAACCCCTGGTTTGTGTGACTTTTTTTGTGTTTAAAAGTATGTTAGATACTAGTTTATCTTCTCACAACAACGGCATGGGATTTGTCTCTCTGATTCGTTCAAAATCTGTCTCATCCAATGCTTAAAAGGGAACACAAAAGAAGGTATCTTCTTTTGTGTTTTTCTGTGGATCACAAAAGAAAATATTTTGAATAATGTTGGTAATAATGTTGGTTTCAAATCCCACTGACTTCCAATGTATGGACAAAAAACTACAATGGAAATCAATGGGAACCGAAACTGTTTGGTTACCAACTATCTTTAAAATATCTTGTTTTGTGTTCCACAGAAGAAAGTAAGTTATACAGGTTTGGAATGACATGAGGGTGTGTAAATGATGACAGAATTTTCATTTTAGGGTGGACTATCATTTTTTTCCAAAGAATAGGAAAAGGTGAAGTTTTTCTTATCAGGAAGTACAGGTCTTTGAAAAAATCACACGTTCATCAGAACAAGTCAGCAAACAGGAGCTGACTTCAATGAAAAATATTTGGCTCGCCCTGGGAATGTGCTGGCAGCAAAGCAAGACACGAACATCTGTTGTTTTCATACCTAGCCTTCTTAGCCACTGTGTCGCCATCCTCAGAGCCATGGGAAGGACGCTTCTCTGTCTTTACTGTAACAACAGAGGCCATTCGACTCCTGAGAAACAAAGATCCCTAAGTACAATTCATTTATAAAGCAACAAATATTGACCAAAAGGCTATACAACTACAACAGATGACAGACAGACAGATAGATAGACAGATAGATAGATAGAGATAGAATTCATTTATACGCAATACTACATAGTATTACACAGTTTTATAACATAATTTCACTATATATAAACCTAGTGAATTTAAGATTAGTGTTGTTAGTAGGAATTAATTAGACCAATGTCAAGTGCTCATTTAGAAGGTTAATAAAGCTTAACTGAATTAATTGTCCTTTGCCATCTTGACACTGAAAGAGATTTACTCTCCTGTGTCTGGAGGAACAGGTTTCAGAGGATTTACATGCTCATGATGCAAGGAAGAAATCTGAAGATGCTGCAGTGATTTGTTGTAAATACTTCACTCGGGAGCTAAAAGATGTTAGGGCATATCTCTTTTCTTTCCGTTTTCTCTTTGTTTTTCTTTCAAAATCATGCCAGACAGATTCGGGTGCACATAAAGGGCCCAAAAAAATCAATCATAACCTACAACAAACACTGACCAGACATCCTCGAGCTAGCAAGCTAACAGGCTAGCTACAGATGCATTTTTAACGCCAAATAATCAAATTATTATAAACTAATAACTTTATTTTCTGTTAATCATGAATCCAATCCATTACGAGTACTAATAGCATAATTATTATTATATAACATGTTTTGGTTGTTTTAGCGGGGGCGTTTACTTGAAGCCTTCAGTCACCTGTTGCTTTTGTTCCCTATGTGTGATACAATACAGCTTTAGCATGCAGGCTAATATTACACTATTGTCTATATGGATATTATTTAATCTCCAAACTTCAAGACTAATAATAATAATAATAATAATAATAAATTGTATACTTTAAGTTACAATTCGTTCAACTGGAAAGGCGAGATAACGGAAAAGAGGAGATTTACCAATTCGCTAACAGTTACATCAAACGACTAAAATAAAGTAACGACAAAAAGGGTATCTTAAAACACGACTTACCCAGATGAACAGATGAAAAAATGAGGATCCGAGTACTTTCTTAAATTTGCTCGAGGCGTTTACTAATGATAAAACAAAACACTAAAAGCAAACTCTCTTTTTTATCGAACAAACTCTTAAGCGGCTTCCGATATAAGATCTCTGTATCAGTAGGGTATCAGTGCCTGTCAGCCTTCAGAGTCCAAAATACTGAAGGCCTTGAATGAATCAGTTCAGCCTTTAGAGAAGTACCTGTCCAGAGACTTTCCTCTGCGAATCCTTCTGTACACAAGCTGAGGCTTTACGTTACATGAGTCCGCGCAACACAGCGGATGTGCGTGCCCCCGCGTGCGCATGGGTTTAATCCGCCAGACTGATACTGTCACACACACACACTTAAACCTAATAGTCGACCAGAGTAGAAATTTACATTTAAAAAGCTCCAATAAATAATTTATGTTTTTTTCTAGACGCATTTTTTTAATATAAAATATCAATATATAAAATGAAAAAAAGGACAATCAGCTTTCTACCTTGATTCTGTAGGCGGCTGTTCAAGTTCATGGCTGTCTGTTGGACTAATCACGCTTTCTTTGTCGTCTTCTCTGTTGTGCTTTTCTCCATTGGTCTCTTTTGCTTTGTTTCTCGCTCTCACTCAACTCTGCGATTGGTTTCACATTTCCGTGTCTTATTAGTCTGTACCAGGCCTCTTTGCTTTTCTAAATATTGTGCCCTTCTTGAGGGATCAGCATCTTCGCTGTTTCTCTGCTGCTGACATCTATGGAAATCATGGAAAGTGTTGATTATTTACTTTTTTGTACTTTACTGGAGATACCGCTCAAAATTAGGGGTCAGTAAGAAAGGATACATTCAAGTGACAATAAAGGCATTTATAAGATTTCTATTTCAAATAACTGCTGTTCATTTAACTTTCTATTCATCAAAGAATCCTGAATAAAGTGTATAAAGCAGCGCAACTGTTTTACATAAAACATTTCTTGAGCAGAAAATCATCATATCAGAATGATTTCTGAAGGATCATGTGACACTGAAGACTGTAATGATGCTGAAAATACAGCTTTGCATCACAGGAATAAATTCCATTTTAAGATATATAATTCAAATAGAAAACGGTTTCTGTTTATTCCAATAATATTTCACAAATCGTACAGACCCCACTATGAACAGTAATGCAAGTTACACTCAAACTACGACAAGTATAGTTAGGCTTAAAACATAATAACAAATTATACTGATACAAGTCTATGACTAACATAGTTGACAGGTAGCCTAGTTGACATTCTAGTCTTATTTTTGGTCAGACACATGGCATTTTTTGTATAATAACATACTATAATGTAATCTCACTATATGAACTATTATCAATGAAATATTAAACAAAATTAGAATCCACTTACCAATTTGTTTTCAAAATGTCTGTCACTGAAAGGCAATGCGATCATGTGATGCAGGTCAGATGGTTTGGGGACAAACTATTGCTCAGTTACATGGGGGTGTTGTATTAGTAACTTAGTTGACAACAATAAAGTGAGATATTTAATCATGTTGATAATAGAAGAAATATTATTATTGTGTATATATTAAATAATATTGGATATTGGATAAATAGTGTTTAATGTTCTGCCCTTTGGTAAAAATCTGATATGTTTACAAAATCATTTAGAAACAAAATCATTAAAAATTGTATTGTTTTATAAACATAATATAATATAATAATTTATAGCATTTGCAAACATGCAACTCAATGGCAGATGGCTGAAGAAAGAGCTCAAGTCTGTAAGTTGCTTCTTTTATAGCGGTTCAGTCTCAGTGAAAGTAGGATATGTTCCCATTCAAATGCTGCCTACAATAAAAAAGTGAATGGGTTAATAGCAAGGCATGCTCTGTTCTGGAGAGGTCATGATGTGCCTGTGGTTAATGAAGCTTTAAGTTTTTTTATAGCTTCTTGCGCAGAGACAGGAGAGCATCCTTATTTTCAGTACCTTCTTCCTCTAGTGTTCTCTCTTTTCACCCACTGGCCATGTATTTGATTGCTTCTCACTGACTGCACATGAAAATCAACATAATGTAAATTAAACAGGTAACTCTAGTTAATAGGACTTTGGAATCAGACAAGTCATGAGTGTGTTTATCTTTATAAATCCGCAGTGATTTCTGGGCATGAGCAGATGCAAAAGTGATGGCCTTGCTGTTTTTTGTTTCTTGGGATTTGGAGGTAACATTCTTACAGTCCTATCAGCCTTTTTTTTTTCCAAATTCTTCAGAATTACTTTAACACCGTTAGTATTTACTACTAGCTGATGAATGATTCCTCATGGGTTAGTAGATATATAGTTTGTCTGACAGAGCCTGACATCTAGTGGTTCATGTCTTGAGGGAAAAAAACAACAATTGTAGGACTGTTCTTTAGAGATTTTATTACATCAACAAATGTCGATCAATTATGAAGCCATATCCAAATGGTCATTTTGTGGGTGATGCTGAAGTGATCAATCACAAACCGAGGAGAGGCATTATGGTATATCCAGGTGTGATACTGCATCAAAAACAGGACTGCATTTCCAAGTATTTGTTAGGATATTACTTTGGTTTAGATTGATATTTCTAGATAAACAAACATAGACCCATTTGATTCATTATTTAGTGAAATATTAATGTCCAAAATAGCTGCAGATGCCGTTCTTTGAAAATTATTTCTAGCAAATTTGATTCTGAACAAGATCAGTTTAACATTCAGTAATTACAGGCACTCCACTGTATAAAGCAGAAAAAATTCAATCCTGCAAGCCTTTACACAACACAAGCAAGTCTTCCATTATTGCATTAGTGTTATGTCATATATAGTCATATATTCTTAATGCGAGTTTCAAAAATAATATTTCAATCAAAATTTACTGGACCATCACACTGTTAATCTTGAAATGGATTCAGCTCAATTAAAGAAGTACTTGCAAAAAATGTCCAAGCTCACATTTCAGCCCAAAATAGTACAGTAATGAGAATATTTATTAATATTTATTTTTATTACTGTACAATATGTAATATTACATACTGCCCAGTATGTAACTTTTTTCAAAATTAGCATAATTTAAAGAACAAGAAATACTACCACTGTATATAAATACTTGTATATAAAATATATATACAATATATAATATATAGTATTTATATATTGTATATAAATATATATACAATATAATATACTGTATATAAAAATACATTATTTTCTCCCTTTTTTGTTTTAAGTTAATGAGAGTTGGGGGGAAATGTAGTCATACATAAAAAAAATCATAATGATCCGAAACACAGGCTTAATTTTCTTTAAACATCATATCATTTACTTATTTTTGGTTTTGGGATGAACTATGACCGAGACATGTTCTTGAGAGTTTTGCTTTGAACATTGCATTAGTCACAACATAACAGAAGAAATGTTTTTGAACATCAGATATGTTTCTTTGATCTCTTTTCAAAAATCAGCTGAATCCATATAAGGGTGTGTGTCCTGTGGTATATTTTAAGCATTACAACACAAGAAAGACTTTGGGTATCTAGGCAGGATGGTGCACAGTGTTTCTCTCTAAACTGAGATTGAACCTTCCCTGAAGCTGGTCTTTCCGATCAGAGCGTTCAGCAGAATGGCCTTTCCCTCTCTGCACTCCTTCTGTGCCTTTTTAATGATGTCATCAAGTTGCGACTCATCCTCTCGGCCAATCAGGTAACCTTTGCCCCCATAACCATCGGCTACAATATGATAATCTGCAAGCAGAACAGCATGTGATGCAACTCATCACTATGAATGATCAACATACAATATTTCCCTTTGGAAAAGAGCTTAATCATAATACGAAACATTTTTGTGGACATTCAGAAGACTGCAGATTCTAAACATAGCATTGACATTTAAACATGCAGTGAACAACCATTTAATGGCTGCGCCAAAGCCTCTCACCTGTAAAAGCAAGACCACAGGCTACGTTGCTCCCGAGCATAGGCACTTGTTCTCTGGAGATCTGACTCCAGCATGCATCATTTCCCACCAGAGCGATCACTGGGGTCTGACGTGAGATGACAAGGGAGTCGTTACAAGTTTTCAAGAGAAAAGCAGATAGAAGCCACAGCGAGGATGTTTTTGAAGGCATATTCCAGGTTTCCACAGAAAATATCCAAGTTGGTTATAACAAACAAATTTACAATGTACATTTTGTTCTTCAGAACACAAATGAAAATATTTGTAATATTCTCTTATGATTTTAATATTACTCCACTGAAAGTCTGTGAAGACATAAACTTAATCCATATCAATCAACTGGTGTAATCCAAGAGAAACAAACGCTTCAAATGACGAACAGATTTCATTTATGCTTTTATTCACATATACATATTGATCAACGCACATACATTCTTGCGCTCATTTGAGCTTCTGCAAGAACCACTGAGGTTTGTTCTTGAGTGTCAAGCATATACGGTTGAGCTGCCGTTGAGCTTTGTTGATCAATGTACTGGATAAAGCCTAAAATAAATCCGTTCATCACATAATGTGGTGGTATCTCTTATAAAGACTTGGATTAAACGGCTCAATTCATATTGGTTACTTTTATGATATCTTTATGAACTTTTTGGAATGCCAAAGTTTCAATGGACTTTCAGTGCATGGATAGAAATCTCTTAGTTTCGTCATTTCAGACATCTTCATTTGTAATTTGAAGATGAACGAAAGTCTTATGGGTTTGGATGACCTAGACAAGGTTAGCATTTTTACAAAACACACATTTTTTAATACATTCTGAACTTGATGCTGTAAAAGTTAAAATCAGTGCTGAAAGGGCTTGTTACGTATGTTAAAGTTGCTACCTTGTGGCGTGTGAAGGTATCAAATTCAGCCACGCTATATCCGAGGGAACCATCGCCGTAAACGATCCATACCTGTCAACAAGATATTGGCTGTTTACATGCACCCCAATAACGTGACTAAGGCTGTATTGTGACTAAACTGGTGCTCTGAATGAAAAAAAAAATATTTAAAGGGGTCATATGATGCAATTTCAAGTTTTCCTTTCTCTTTGGAGTGTTAAAAGCTGTTCGTGCATAGATAAGATCCCTAAAGTTGCAAAGACTAATGTCTCAAACCCAATGAGATTATCTTTATAAAAGTTAAAGACTCGTCCACGCCCTCCTAAAACGCCTCGTTTAAACACGCCCCCACATGTC